AATTGCCTTAAGACAAAATTCCATTTACAGCTAGTTTTTGCGAAAAATAGGAAACGCGCGACGGGTTAAGCGTCGGGCATAAGGTGCATATTCCCCTTCATGAACATTAACATGTTGAAGTTCTCGTCTGAAAGCGAGGCTCGTTTTGGTGTCAAAATGTCTTTACCCGTGGAAAACAAACGTTCAACTGCAGCGCTTGAGGGTATAGCAGTATTGTATTTAATAAATAGATTTATGAATATCTGTTCCCCGAGGAATGCAGCATCGTTGAACGAGTCTTTTGATTTCATAGCCAGCCACATTTTAACGAGAATTTGCGCTTTATTCTTTAAAGAGTTTGTAGCTTTTTGGTTTTTCTATAGACTGAGTGACAGAATTGAAAAAGTCTTCCTTCTCGTCATCATCATCGCATTGCTCCCTCCGCCACTTAAACTATCTCAGTCCTTCGAATTTTTCGCTGCTTCTTGCCATAAGGCATCTTCTACCTTTTTTCTGTGCATTTTCTTACTGCATTCCTCTCTACTGCTGTCATACGTTTCCAGCCACATTAACCGAAACTTTGGGTGAAATGCCGCGGCAAGTTGGCACTGTTCATCATTCAGGAGTAGTCCAAATATTTTCTCTATGCCGTTTAATAAGGCATTGGCTAAAGCTGTGCCGTGCGGTAAATAGTAGGCATTGGATTAACGATTAACGGACTTCTCGCATTTTAACGGAAGTTAACGTGTCCGTTAACATTTTTAAAAGTTAACTTAAAAGTTAATCCGTTAATCAAAATGTTAACTTCGTTAATTAACGATTAACGGATTAACGAGTTAATGCCCAGCTATGACTTTAGGTTTGATAAATTGACGCATTGCGTGTTTTCTATTTTACCGTAAAATTTATTAATTTATACTCAGGTTGATTAGAACAAAATAATATAAGGTAAAAAATAAAATGTTTACGAAAACGAAAAATTTAACAAAAATTTGAAATCAACATATTTTTTACATATTATTTGAATGCCTATTATGCATTTTTCGCATAAGGTCACAATAAATATGAAATTTATAGATTCTGTTTTTATTACACATTTTAGGAACTTCTTTTGAAATTCTGATGTTGACGTTTACTTTTTTATTATTATTATTATTATTTTTGAACAGCAATCAGAACCTCACGTCCTATGAGTTGTTGGGCTGAAACTTCTCCTTACTTCATATTTTTTAGATGGTAACCCAATGGTTAATCCATCCATATTTGATGATTTTTTGTTATTAGAATTAATTTAATAGGGCTGACATTTTATTGGTGCAGCAATGCCGGGCAAGGGCTATTTTTACTTGGAAACATATTGCTATCTATATTTTCAAGTGAAAATTGTTGTCACTGCTGCCTGACAACAGACTGCTCAAAGTGGGAATCGAACCCGGGAACTCTGAAACAAGTCCCGTCGCTCTTAACCGCTTACCTAAGGGCGAGCCCGACGTTTACTGATCTCAAAATTTCTCAATCTATGATAATCTTTCTACGTAAATTCTTTCTATCGTTTCTATCAAATCGCTAAGATTTATTTATTATTTTTTTTATTCTTTATTTGTTGACTTTGTATACATGTATATTAGTCATCATACATTTCATAATTAATATTTACACTTTTATTTTATTTGCTTGTATATAATTGTATAGTGCACCATATATCATTTTCTTTGTCAATAATATTATAAAATTAGTTGGGAGGGAGATATTTTCCTTACAATCTTCCTCCATAGTTCTTGTCTACCCTTTTCCGATTTTTTCACTGAGCACTCCATAATGGCGTGCTCAGCATCCGCCCTAGTCGCTCCGCCCAAGCAATAGAAATTGGTATAATAATAGTATAATAATTAAGTTTAGTGCATCTCAGACTTTTTGCTATTATATTTACTATTTGAACATAATATTAATAATATAATTTGAGCATAATATTAAATATATAAAGATATTATGCGTAATCAGCTACATCATCAATTTGGAAGGTTTATCAAACTAAACTAAATATCTAATGATAAAACTTTAAATTTACACAAATTTAAGATTAAAGTTAGGATTAAGTGCTATGATTTTTTGAGCATTTCATCACAAAGTTCGAATTCCTTCAAAATGACAGGCACCATGAACCTGGTGTTAAATATATTATTTTTACTGTTAGAATAAGTCAAATTGATTCAAATCTTCAAAGTTTTCTATCCAAATCAAATTCCTATTACGAAATCCGTTATGTCTCGGAATGCTTTCTGATTTAACGTGCATACAAATGTGATGTACTGAGAATTGATAATACGTAAATTCAGTCAATAGCAATTCTTTTAAATTCGATTGGTGTTCATTTTGTGACTTGCACGCCTTCGTTGGTCTCTTATCACTGTTAAATGAAACATGCAAACAAAACTACATACCGCCGCATACAATAAAGTTTCAACATTTCATCTCTCTGTTGCATATTACTGTGTGGCTTGACTCGATTCAGTACATACTTACACATATATGATGTTTTAAAATGTTTTATAAATTTTAAACTAGAGGTGCATGCCATCGTGCCTGAAGGCACCTGCTGAAACTTCCTGTGCCGTAAATTAAAATTTTTAAAAGCATTAAAAAAATTTGAAAACTTTGAAAAATGAACTTTTTTGAAAAATTTGATTTTTTTTATATTTCAATGTTTTTTTGAAAATTTAGAACTTTTTCAAAGCAATAGCGCTGCGTAGCTGTTTTAAAGAAGAGGTTTCGAAGCTAATAAGCATGGCGTTGCAATCCAAAGTTTAAACAATATAAATCTTGGCAAGGAACCTATAGAAGTGTAAACAAAAATTGTACTTAGTATTAAAATCTCTATAAAATATTTGATAATTCGATCAGCATATGTCTAATGATCATTTTTGGCTGCTAAATACCATTGGATCTCCGAAACCGCTGTACCTGCCTTCCCAAAAATGTAACCAGTTTTTCATTTTGACAATACAAGTAAAATGTTTTTTTAATTTTTTTAAATCGGTAGTTCTTTTAAAAACTAATTCGCCGTAATTGCCATTTTTTGGTATTACTATAACTTACCATACATAAAGTTAATAATGAGGAGATTATAAATATCCTAAATTTTCGGTATTAATTTAAATTTCTATAAATTCTATTTTTCACCTCAGTATATTGAGTACCAACACCAACTTCATTAGTTTATTAAAAAAAAAACTTATTAGTTTATTGCTATAATTTTTTATTTGAGTAAATTATATTATAATATACTTAAAATCTTTTTTTAATCATAATAATAACCAACAAGTGGTATTTTCTTAAAACTTTACTAATATTGCTGACAGGAGCATTTTATTCATTTATGTATATACTATATTTATTTACATATCAATTATAAATTAATTATTATTTATTAATTATAAATCAATAATCATTTAAAATTATTGCGATCATATGTAGGTACTTATAAATTAACGTATCATAATACTATTATATGTGTAAATAATCTTGTGCTGCATAAATTCAGAGTCAATTTCAAATTTAAAATCGCGGTTGTGTACACCCAGTACGTACTTTAAAAAAATATACAAACGTGATTTATATACCAAAAACATAGCACGAACAAGTTTGCTAGAAAAAAAACATGGAACCTAAACTGAATATATTGCTAAATGATTTTAAATTCAAATAAGTGTTAGTTCTAGAAAAAATCAATTATCGAATATCGATAGTTTTCAAATATTAACTTTTTTGTTCGAACTTTAAATTTAAAATTCTCAAAATTGGTCAAAAAGTGGTTTGAGTGGCCCCAAAATGTTCTATAGTGTGTTGGCAAGTTCCATCAAAAGTTGACGCATTTGATCAAGATTGTGAAATGTGAAATACTTGATAGTATAGATAAATAAAACTTGCAGCAATTGTGTCTTAATTTGTAACTGTAGTTCTAAAAATCATCTTTATGGTTGCAGAAAAAAGTTTAAATGAACAGATTTAATAAATATCAACCACAATAACCAAAAAATGTTTACAGTTCTACCAAAGATTTGGGTTTCACCTAAAAGCTCATAATTTTCAAACTACAGTAGAACTCCAATTATCCGAATTAATGGGGACCGGGACCGATTCGGATAATCAAATATTCAGATAATCAAATATTCGGATTTTTTTTTAAAAAATTGCCATTGGAGAAAAAAAAGTTACGTTTTGCACTATTTTTTTATTGAATTAAATGAAAGAAACAGGACATTTTCACATGTTTTAAATATAAATAAAATGTACTTATGTACAAGTTTAGAAATAAAAATCATTGTTTTTTAAACATCTCCGTCAAATCAAAACAAACAATGTGCCTATACTGGCTTTGCTGGTGGAAGAATAATAGCGCACTTAGACTTTTTTTTGGACAATTTTTTTTCTGAAAGAAATTCGGATAATCGGCGATTCGGATTGTCGGAGTTCGGATAATTGGAGTTTGGATGATTGGAGTTCGGATATTTGGAGTTCTACTGTACATGGCATAACTTTCTTATCTAATTTGTTTTCCTAATGATTGCGGTCAATACTATCACCCCATTTCGGCTTGAAGTTGAGATCTGGAGCATCTTATATAACATAGTACAGTAGAACCTTGTTTATCCGGCCGTCGGTTATGCGGATTTGCGATTATCCGGAATACCTACATTTCGAATTTTTGCATGATTAATACTGCAGATTATTACATAGAAAATATATTTGTACATACGTAAAGAAGGTTCAATTTCTTAATAATATTATTTTCGTTGATATCTATGTATGCATTTGTTATTTTTAATAAATACACAACATTATCCTTCATACATTCGATTATCCGAATGCCTATCGACAACCATTAGTCCGGTTAATCAAGGTTCTACTGTAGTTGAAAATAAGTAAGAATTGCTTCTTACTGACAAAGTTATAATGTTATTAATTATGTTATTAATTAAGTTATTAAGTCATATAGTTAATGAACTTATTGTCTTTTTCAGTTGCTGCTGCTGCTACTGCCGTTAGCAGCGGCTGCAACCGAATCAGGCTTCGCTGGACGAATAAATTTCGATGACATCCAATTAAATCAAAAAGAACCATTTTCTTCCACGATTTCCAATGGCTGGTTGCCCCTTGCTAGAAAACGATACGCCGCTGGTTGTGAATACGGTCGCAGTTACTGGAACGCAGCCGGCCAGAGGTGCGTCGCCTGCTCCCTCTGCGGTAGCGAGGAAATTATTGTTCGGCCTTGTGGTTTAGACAGAGATGTAGTATGTGGCCCTCTATCAGATTTACATTCAGATTATTGGGCCTGGCTACAAAATAGATTTATTAAAAATGCCGAAGAACGGAAAGAAAGAACTTTGGACAACGCAGGAATTGCTGTGCCTCTGCGAACGAAGGTAATAATATATCTGAATAATAAATAATCCTCAAATTCATATATATATATATAGATATATATATACTTATATATATTTATATAATATATATATATATATATATATATATATATATATTAGGGCGCGTCGATTTAAAGGTCACTTAGACACATATGATTTTCGGATACTGGAGATCAAAATAAGATACTTTGCTGAAGAAACCATACCTCTGAAATGAATTCTGATGTCCCGTGCGTTGACTCAAAAATAAGGGTTGAATTTTGAAAAACCGCTCAGGGGAGATCCCAGAGGATGTACCACGGGCATAGGTGAATCGTCTTTCCAAAGTTAGTGGGGGTCGGTCATACATTTGGTCGCGATTGGGACACTCTAAATGGGTCAAAATGGAATTTTTTAAATTTCAATCCTTATTTTTGGGTAACTGCATGGGAAATCAGAATTAATTTTAGAGGTTTTGTTTCTTCAGCAAAGTATCTTATTTTGAACCCTAGTATCCGAAAATCATGTGTGCCTAAGCGACTTTTTTGACCCGTACAAATCGACCCGCTCTATATATATATATATATATATATATATATATATATATATATATATATATATATATATATATATATATTAGATTCTATATATATAAAAATAAGTCGGGTTTTCCTTCCTGACGAAATAATTCCAGAACGCACGAACTGATTTCGACAATTTTGCATTCGTTGGAAAGATCTCGGGCTCCGCAAGGTTTATAGCTAAAAAAATTAGTTGTGCATGGCATCGTGCCTTAATGCAAGCTGCTGGAACTTCACGCACCGTAATTAAAAATTCGAGTAATGACATTAGTGAAAATTATCAGAATTATGCTTGGTTAAGTCAACGAGCAATTCTTGCCGCAAAGAATAATGATGTACACGCACTGAATTTCACCATTCAATCAAGAATTGCTGGCGATTTGGTGACATACCAATGATTCCGACTGGTCTTCCGTTTGACTTCAAACGATTGCAATTTCCAGTTTGCCTTGCGTTCGCAATAACAAGTCGCAAGGCCAATCGCTTAGTGTTTCCGGGATAAATTTCAAATAGATTATTTAGAAAATCATTGTTTTTCACTTGGGCAGTTATACGTTGCCTGTTCACGAGTTGGACAACCATCCGCTTTGTTTGTGTTAACGTCAGACCAAAAAACAAAAAATGTGCTTTACCAAATAGCACTTCAATGAAACGGATAATTTGCGGATTCACTTTCATTTACTTAGAGAAGCTCAACTAAAAAACACTTCATTTTTGTAATCGAAATAAATCCATTAATGTTGTATAATAAAATCACATTTTTCCTTTTCAAATATAAAACAAACAAAAAATTTCTTTATCTTTCTCATGAAACGATCTGATGGCGAAACGGAGTTCGTCGGGTTTGCTAATATATATATATATATATATATATATATATTATATTAATCGAATATAAAAGTAAGTTCAAATTATCAATGATAATTACCATGAAACACATAAATGTAATTATATTATCTTTTTCTGAATCGGAAAATCACAATTTCACAAATAGAACTTATCTTAAAAAAAACTATTAGAAGTAATTCTTAATATATGCATTTAGTTTTGTATTATATATTATATTTATATATGGCTTCCATGGCTTGGCGGTTTAAAGACTTTGTGTGGACAGGGTTGCAAGTTCGGGCCCGCCCTCTAGAAGACCTGATATTGAAAATATAGATGAAAAATATGTTTTCAATTGAAAATAGCGTAGTTGGGGCTCTGCGTTGTGAAATGACTATGGGAAATTTTGCGGTCTCTATTTTTCCCTGAATCGAGTTGGCGTTCAACTCAGCTCACGGACCTGCCCTAGGACAGTACTACCCATTACTACCCATTATATTATATAAAGTGTTCTTGTTGAGAAAAAAACTTCTAGTCAATCTAAATTTAACAATGAAGTTAATAATAATGTGATAATTCAATTTTCTAAATGGTAAACGAGTTATTTTTTTTTTTTAATTTAAAGTTTTTAAATTGAACCTCGTTAAACTTTTTGGTAGCTTTCATGGTAGCTACATAAAGTGTGATTGAATCAAGGAGCCACTTCCGCATATTTTCTCGGCTTCATATGAGAAGCTTCAAAGATAATATTGAAACTTCTATATATGACAAAGTTAATATTGAATATTTAGTATATATCCTATTGAATGCTATAAAATGAATCAAGTATAAATCATATAATCAGCTGGTTTTGAACAGCGTTGCGCCCATGCCCTTTAATGCACCAGTTTCGTTTAGTCTAGCAGCCGCCTGTTACCAAATAAAACCGTTGAAGGTTAACATTCACTATGGAATTAAAATATAACAGTAAAAGCACGTCAAGACTATAAACACGTGCCAATATATGCTGTAGAATCAAGTTGGTAATAAAAGAAGTGCGTTAGTTCGAACGCTTTGTTAGAATGCATCTGACAACTAGTGGGGCGCATGACATTGTGCCTTGGCAAATTGCTGGAACTTCCCGAACCAATAATTTTAATTTTTGAAAAAAAAATTACTTTGAAAAAAAATAGATTTTTGAGAAACTATAAATTTGACAAAAAATTACTTTTTTTGGAAAAAAAATATGTTTTTTTGAAAAAAAAATGTTTTTTTTTTATTTTGACATATTTTGTAAATTCTGAACTTTTTTTCAAAGCAATCGTACTGCTTTAACTGCATAGAGACGGAATGTTAAAGCGCGTAAACGCCGCGTCGCTGTCTAACGGGTAAACATTGGTACGGAATTCATAAGAATGTCAACAAAATTTATACTTATTGTTAAAATCTCTATAAAATATCTGATAATTTGATGTGCATATGTCTAATGATCATTTTTGACCGCCAAATGGCTTTTTTTTTACTTTTTCCATTAGATCTCCGAAACCGCTAGACCTGCCGTCATGATCAATTCTTTATCTTATCAATACAAGTAAAATGTTTTATGAATTATTAAAATCGGCCGCTCTCTTAAAAACCATGTTACCGTATTTGGCACTTTTTGACCACATACATCCATTTTTTCTAATTGTAAGGTATGCCAAAATATTCAGAAACCTTTGAAACGTAAAGATATATAAAAATTTTCATTTTCGATTTTTTTGAGATTACTATAACTTGCCCTACGGGAAGTTAAAAAAGTCTTTCGTTAGATGATTAGAAAAATTAAGCCCACCCCAAGTAAGATAATCTGAATAATTTATAATCATAATTATAATTTTTTCGATTGTTGAAAAACTTTTTCAAATCCGAATTAGAAAGTCAACGCCATTGTTTTGGTTAATACATTTTCTAAGAACATAATGCAAGCAAAAGTGTAAAACAAACGAGTATAAATAATACTAAATTGTAAGGGTCAACAAAAACGTTGCGAATGTTTGTACAAAACAATGGTACATTATGTATGTTAATTCGAAACACAATGGATAATTATGTTAAAATGTAAAAATACTCAAGGGACACAACTAGTGTAATCGCCTAAAAAAAGGTGATTTTTGAGAATTTATATTAAAACTAGCTGTAAGTGGAATTCTGTCTTAAGGCAATTAAGGCATCGTGCCTTAAGGCAAATTGCTGGAACTTCCCGTACGAAAAATTATTATTTTTTTTAAAAACGATTAACATTTTTGAAAAAAATTTACTTCAAAAAAATAAGATTTTTGACAAAAAATTACTGTTTTTTGAAAAAAAAAATTTTTTTAATATTTTTTTTTTAAAAAAAATGTTTTCTTTATTTTGACATATTTTGAAAGATCTAAACTTTTTTTCAAAGCAATCGTACTGCTTTAACTGCATAAAGACGAAATATCAAACTGCGTAAGCGCCGCGTCGACGTCTAACGCGTAAACATTGGTACGGAACCCATAGGAACGTGAACCAAAATTATACTTATTGTTGAAATCTCTATAAAATATCTGATAATTCGATGTGCATATGTCTAATGATCATTTTTGACCGCCAAATGGCATTTTTTTATACTTTTTTCATTAGATCTCCGAAACCGCTAGACCTGCCTTTATGAAAATTTGATCAATTCTTCACCTTGTCAATACAAGTAAAATGTTTTTTGAATTATTAAATTCGGACGCTCCGTTCTCTTAAAAACTGAGTTACCGTTTTCGCCACTTTTTGCCCCGTATCTTCGGAACGGCTAGACCTAACTTCGCCAAAAACTAATCAGCACGTCTCCTTATCAATACGAATCGAATGTTTTTTGAATTATTCAAATCGGTTGATCGGTGTTCCCGAAATCGTCGACGAAAACTTGTATCCGCACATACATACACACACGCACACACACACACACACGCACACACACACACACACACACATACATCCATTTTTTCTAAGGTATGCCAAAATATTCAGAAACCTTTGAAACGTCGAGAAATGCAAAAATTTTCATTTTCGATTTTTTTGCGATTACTATAACTTGCCCTACGGGAAGTTAATAATCATTGTTAGCAATCTATGCTTAATGTTGTTCATGTAAAACAGATTGCAGAATAAAAAAAAACTAGCTGTAAGTGGAATTCTGTCTTAAGGCAATTAAGGCATCGTGCCTTAAGGCAAATTGCTGGAACTTCCCGTACCAAAAATTATTATTTTTTTAAAAACGATTAACATTTTTGAAAAAAAAATTACTTTGAAAAAATAAGATTTTTGAGAAACTATAAATTGGACAAAAAATTACTTTTTTTTGAAAAAAAATTTTTTTAAAAAAAAAATTTTTTTTTTTTTTTTTTTTTTGTTTTTATTTTTTGAAAAAAATTTTTTATTTATTTTGACATATTGTGGAAGATCTGAACTTTCTTTTCAAAGCAATCGTACTGCTTTAACTGTATAGGGACTAAATATAAAGCGCGTAAGCGCCGCGTCGCTGTCTAACGCATAAGCATTGGTACGGAACCCATAGAAATGTTAACAAATTGTATACTTATTGTTAAAATCTCTATAAAATATCTGATAATTTGATGAGCATATGTCTAATGATCATTTTTGACCGCCAAATGGCTCATTTTTTTACTTTTTCCTCCGTATCTCCGAAACCGCTAGACCTACCTTTATGAAAATTTTATCGATTCTTCATCTTGTCAATACAAGTGAAATGTTTTTTGAATTATTCAAATCGGACGCTCCGTTCTCTCAAAAACTGAGTTACCGTTTTCGGCACTTTTGCCCCGTATCTTCGGAACGGCTAGACTTGCCTTCGCCAAAAACTAATCAGCACGTCTCCTTATCAATACGAATCGAATGTTTTTTTAATTATTCAAATCGGTTGACCCGTGTTCCCAAAATCGTCGACGAAAATTTGTATCCGCACATACATACACACACGTTAATACATACATACATACACACACACATACACACACACACACACACATACATCCATTTTTTCTAAGGTATGCCAAAATGTTCAGAAACCTCTGAAACGTAAAGATATATAAAAATTTTCATTTTCGATTTTTTTGCGATTACTATAACTTGCCCTACGGGAAGTTAAAAATACTTTATCATCGTTTCAAAATTTTAAGAATATATTTACACATGTTTTAAGAATACATAGTAAAATTTTCGAAGAAAAAAATTAAATATTTTTTAAGTTATCGTCGATCTTCAACGGCGCGAAAAAAAGGCCCTTCACTGCTGCAGTGATTCCGGCCTTCTACGTAGATGAAATTAAAAAAAAATTCTCGTTAAACTAGATAATATTGTCTGTAAAATGACCTACGATAAAAAAAAATTAAAAAATTGACAAAATGGCGGCGTTTTTAAAAAAAAAGTCGAATTTTACCCGAAATTTTTGTCGTTTTTGGCCTGCCAAAATTCGATTTTTGATCCGATCGAAAAATCGATAGTTCATTTTACAAAGAACTATATATAGAACATGTAAAAAAAATTCGATAGTGATCGGATCATTTGTTTTTGAGTAATAACTGCAGCAAATTCGGAAAATGGTGTTTCGAGAAAAACGCGTTTAAAAATAAAATGATCGTTATACTATATACTATATATGTACTCTTTAAATGGCTGTGACTTAAAAACTATTTAAGATATCGATTTAAAATTTTGGTATGTTATTTTTAAAGGTATAGCCTATCGAAATATGGAAAAATTGCAAATTCGATTTCTTGAAAATTTCACACTAGTTGTGCCCCTTAAATATAACATTGGGCAGGAAATAGTAATTTGGCTTAATTCTTTATCAAAACATATTTTTTATATTTGTTTAAAATTTCAATTTCCTGCAATTTTAATTGGTCGAATTCGAAGAAAAGAAAGCGAGTATTCTTTAAATACTATTCATAAACCTACCTATTGAAACATTTAGAGAAACACTTATCGGTTAATCTATTTGTCTGATATTGTGCTTTTCAATTTATTAGTTTAATCCTTAATATTTTATGATTTTATAAAAAGTATCTGCTGTTGCAGGAGATGTCTGAGCTTGCAGATTGGAAATGGGATTGGGAAGCCGGAGTGCTCCTTATGGCTATCATTGTCTGCGCCCTATTTTTTGCAGTTGTGGCAGGATATTCTCTTCATCATGCACGACACTGGCGAATACTTGAAGAACACTACGAAGCAGGCAAGTTGCACTTTAACAAGTTGTAATTTTTTTTTAAATGAATATGTTTAATGAATATGTGAACGGCTCGCAAGCACGATTATGAATATGGGAAACAGTAGGCCATCGACTAATAATCTTAGACCTCAGAATACATACATTTATTATAAGGTCTATGCTTAAAATCCAAATCAATCTCAAAAAGAGTGTATGAAATTAGAATATTAGAATGCTTATTGTTATATATTATATATTGTTATGTTCTGTAATAGAGACGGCCCTGATCGATTGCAGCAGAATAAAGGAAGCCACACTGATATTATGGTTTTCTCTTAATTTATTTATGAAACTCAAAATTATAGATAGTACAAAGTATAAGATATTTAGCAAGAGACAAAGAACATAATTTTGGTACGTAAAATGACAAAATAATGTAGTTATATATATAGCATAGACCGGGGCTTAAAAATCCGCGGAAAAATAGGTGCAACACCGATATCTCAAAAACAAGTAAAGTTAAAAAATTTATAACAATAATATTTGAAAGTACAGGGAAAAAGTATAACCAGCCTTGTTTCTTACGGCTTTACTGTTGGGTGATAAACGACAATGTTCGAAAAACCATAACAAAAGTATTTTCTTTTGTTATTATTTTTTTGGTTGGTAGCTGATGAATATTTCTGACGAAATACAAGATCAAAGTTATATTACCAGTGTTATCAAATAAAATTTATATTTTGCATTGGTTGAATAATGTAGCTTTTATTTCTTAAAATCCCTTTAGTTAAAAATACGACTTAGGACCTGTTTGCCCCTTAACAGTTTCGTTTTACCTCGCATATGGGGTAAAAAGGACCAGCTGGCAAATATTTAGAAAAGCAGTAAATAAAACACATTTCTACATTGATGAATTAGCTGGGAGATTTACTGAACACAGTCACACATTTGTTTGTTACTGAACATAGTCAGATAGTTATTTGTTCGATATGTGGTTTTTATTATGATATAATTGGTTTGGTTTTCACAATATAATTGTTCAAAGTTAAATTGGACTTTTGTGCCCTGCCATCACCTAATTTTAAAAATTTTACATATTTTTTAAAACTTGTTTACATCGTGTCCTACAGAGACATGTCAATACAGATATGTCAATGATCGAGCAGTTAAAAATATACAGCAAACATAATTCAGATCAAAGTTATTTTTATGTCCAGGCGAGATGAAAATAAAACTTATTTTAAAAATATGCTAGCAAACAGAAAACAAATGTTTCGTATTTTTAATGAATTGAAAGAAACATATTGACATATGAAAATGCACCTATTTGATTTCAAACGCAGCTGTTATTTCAAAAAATGATTTTATCTGTGCTTCACAATGTTTGTTAAACTTTTTATTTGTCAATTTAAATTAAAAGCCTGAAAACACGATAAATAAATTGCTCTGAGTTTCATTCTTAATAAATTGTTGTAAATTATCGATATTTTGAATAAAAATCACAACTCTGTTATTTATTAACTTCCCGTAGGGTAAGTTATTGTAATGGGCCGAAAATCGGAATTGAAAATTTTTACATTTCTCGACGTTTTGAAGGTTTCTGAACGTTTTGGCATACCTCAGAAAAAATGGATGTGTGTGTGTGTGTGTGTGTATGTATGTATGGATACAAATTTCCAGTCACGTTTCAGGGCGCACGGATCAACCGATTTGAATGGTTCAAAAAACATTCGATTCCTATTGATAGGGAAAAGAGCTGATTAGTTTTTGGCAAAGGCAGGTCCAGCCGTTTCGGAGATACGGAGCAAAGAGTGCAGAAAATAGAAATCGAATTTTTGAGAGAAGGGAGTATCCGATTTGAATGATCTAAAAAACATTCAATTAGTAATGATTGGGAGAAGTGTTTAATAGTTTTTGGCAAAGGCAGGCCCAGCCATTTTGAAGATACGGAGCTAAATATGTAAAAAATGGCAGTTTTTGAGAGAACTAAGCGTCCGATTTAAATGATTCAAAGAACTTTCTGCTTGTCTTAAAATTTGTTCGATGCTTGTAAAATTTTGTTCGATTTTTTAGTTTTTTGTATATCGAAAATATTTCAGATTTTATTTTTAATTCTGACTATAGTTCTAATATACTTTACAAATAATTTCAACTCTGCAATTCAGTTTATATAATTCTTATAAATATTACACAATGTTACAATATTTATAATAATCTATTTGAAAACATTCAGTATTTCTCGAACATTTCGTTACGGTACGGGAAGTTCCAGCAATTTGCCTTAAGGCACGATGCCATAATTGCCTCAAGACAGAATTCCACTTACAGCTAGTTTTTTTCTAAAATAGGTATATTCTAAAACTTATTTGACAACATTAATTTTGTTAATAATTGTATTGAATAAAACTTATTTGACAACAATAATTTTGTTAATAATTGTATAGGGTAAGGCAAGACACAAAGGTCCAAATAGATTTTGAGCGATTATATTGTGAAAACCAAACCAATTATATCACATCAAATAACACATATCAAACAAGTAACAATTTGACTATGTTTAGTAAAGCTCTCAGCTAATTCTTCATTATGCATCTTTTTCCCTCTACTTTCAAATATTGTTGTTAAAAAATTCCTAACTTTGCTGGTTTTTATTATATCAATGGTGGATCTTTTTACCCGCGGAATTTTAAGCCTCGCCCATAGATAAACAAGTATAAATATAATTTATTTTGAAATTTTATTTGGAGTTTGATACGCGAATCGATCACTTTTTCAGCAGGAGTTTATGATCTGCTTGTATTATTTTATTTACTCTATTTTCTACAAATCTGATGTAATATTGATTGTAATTTCTGCTTCAGAATTCAGATAATTTTTTCACAAACTTAAATTTAGACTGTTATATCTAAAGATGTCAACTTCGACATAGCTTACTTGCATGCAAAACTAAAAATACTTCTTTAACATTAGGAAATTTATCAGTATGGCAGCGAATGTTATATACATACAAACACACACACACACACACATATATATATATATATATATATATATATATTCTTCTCTACCTAACCGAAATGTTTAATCTCATTCAGTTAGCTAACTTCAAATTAATATTTTCTTTAAACTAACAATCTCCTTTTAGATGGCCAAGATATATAGTATGCCAAACATAAATCATTAAGATTGTAAATCAAGAGCTTCCAAATACTCTATTAATCTAAATCCTGAATACTGATACATATATATTATTAGAATGAAAGCGGTATCTATTTAGATTTAGACATACGGAAATACGTGGTACATTTTATATGTAATGGCACGTACGCGTACTGGAGAAATTCAGTACACTGCCATTGATAATACAATTTCTTATTGTTGCTAAGAACACTTTATTTAAAGATACAGTTAGATGTTATTTCAATTTGTAATATATGGTAAAAAACAATCACAAAAAAAAACTATGATCAGACCACACGTATGAAAATAATATAAAAATAACTGTTTCGAATTTGGTTTTTTTGCATTTTACATTATTGAGGCTGAACCCATCGCGGCCTGTCGATTATAAGGACGTTCAATCCTAACCTCGGTCAACTCGATATCAGATTGCATGGTATCAAACTTTCACCATCTCAAATATAATCTCAAGTGAAAATTGTCTTTTGTGGCTCTAGCTGCAAATAAACGATATGCAGCTAGTAGTCTCAACTAGGATAGAACAACTACTGGGTTGCCTTCCAAAAACAAGTCATACAGTACATTGTCACAATAACTACAAAATGTTATGTTTTCAATAATAAATACTCATTTCTGCATTTTTAACTTCCATAGGGTAAGTTATTGTAATCGTTCAAAGATAGAAATAGCAAATTTTTGCATATCTTTACGTTTCGGAGGTTTCTGAGCGTTTTAGCATGCCTGAATGTGTGCGTGTATGTATATGTGGATACAATTTTTTATCGACGTTTTCGGGAGCACCGATTTGAATGATACAAAAAGCATTCGATTCCTACTTATTGGGATCACTGCTGATTAGTTTTTGAGAAGGGTCGGTTTCCGAAATACGAAGCAAAGAGTGCAGAAATGAAAATTAAGTTTTTGAGAGAACACAGGATGATGCTTTAGCTATCCGATTAAAATGATTAAAAAAACATTCAAATCGTAATCATGAAATATGAGATAATATCCTTTAATATCAAATCAGTTTGTTAATTTAGTTTTTAAGTAAACATGTCGTCCAATTTATATTTTGTATATAAAATACGAATAAAGAAAGTTACAATAGTTATAATAATCTATTTGAAAACATTTAAAATTCTTCGAGGGCACGATGCCATGCACCACTTTTTTTGTTTCTAGTATTTAATATATTATTAAAGAGACCGGTTTGTTTCGAAATTTTAATGATTGTTACATTTATTGAAAAAGCTAAACGAATATACATATTTCATATATTTGCAATAAATTTGCACTTACTGAACTTTTTTATTGAGATGACATAGAACATTCACACGTGACGAAATTATTGATGCAAATATTTTTTTTGATATTTGGTTGAAACTAACGCTATACTAAAATTTTTGATTTAAATAAATACTTTTGAAAGATTATATTCTTCCTGAAATATTTACAAACAGTGTATCGAGTTAAGTGCAATGAATACTGAATACCAAACGCGTAGGTCGAAGACAAATATCCAGCAGCTTGTTCAAGTTGCTTCTATGTTTTCTGTGATGAATGTTCACATAAAGCAAGAGCTTATATTTTTTATTTGATGACAGTACTTTGATGTTTCAACACTGCTATACAAGTCTCAGATATAGATTTGTATCGCCGAACTTGATTGGTAATATTCAAGTATAATTTTTTGTCTTATCGCTTTTGGAACTATTTATTCCTACAGATTCTACTCATATCTTAATCTTAAATACCTACGAATTTTGTCATAAATCATTTGTATCATAATATTAGGAATATATTAAAATGATCTTTATAATAAATAATGAAAGCATATATATCTCAATTATAACATCGCTTAATACATATGATTGTTTTTTATTATACGTACTATATTACTTGCAAGTTGATTTTGACCTATGACATAAATAACTTTTTCAAAATAAATTTCCAAGTACTGTTTAAACTAGATTTTGAAAAAGCCAGTATAGAGGAGATTTTAACTGATTTATTTATTGAAAAAATAACTTTATGAGAAAAATTTAAACTTAAATCTTAAATTATGTTGAACTTGAACCTATAAGAATTAATAAAAATTAAATATAACGATGTGGTTTTATTAAAAAATATTGAAAATGTATATACTATCATTTTTTTATTTTTAATTTGTTATCTTATTGTTTATTATACCAACCATTTGTTGTTTTCTGGCAATATTGCGTTATAGATAGATGTTAGACTTGATAGAATGTAATTTGTGACTCCAAAATCTTATAGACATTTTTACTTCATAGGCAAAAAACAGAATGGATAGATAATAAAAATTAGGTAACATAAAATACTTAATAATCTGAAATATTAGCAATTTTCACTTACAAAGAATTCTGTAGTACCTTTCATAATATTATTTGAGCTTGTCTTCAATCATGTTAGAGAGCATGCAATCCGTGTTTAATGGAATATTTGAGACAACATTTATTACAGGTCAGTATTCAATAAAGATAGATATGTGATGACTAAAGTGCCTCTATACTAATCTTATTTAATCTTCCGCAGTATTTATTAAAATAAATATCGTATTTTATTGTCAATTAACTTCAGTTATCAATCAATCAAGCTTATGATTCGGTATCATTTTCATAAACATTTTTCCTGGCAATCATTATTACCCGTCATGTTACCATTTCTTAATCTGAAGTGTAGGCAATGAAATTCATTTTGTATTAGGCATTACTACTCCATTTATCCAATAGAAAAAACATGAAGATAACAGTCAATTTCGATTATAAATGGCATTTCTTATATTATCACGACAATATTCTATAAGCTGCTGTGGTGTATTTTCTACTATCTAACATTATTAGAAGACATCAAAAAAGTTTTATGTTTGTAATATATATTTTTTAAACTTTATTGTGGTGTGATAATTGCATCACTATTCCGAAGGGCTATTTTCACTTGGATATATATTATCAATTAAAAACAGATATCACTGTTCCCACGTTAAGCCTCTTACCACTATACTACAAATGCTCCTATAAAATGTTTTATTATTGTAAATTACATCATATTGTTACTTGATCATATGGCAATTATTTAAACAATATAATTTAAAATAGAACTACTGGTGCATGGCATTGTGTCTTAAGGCAAATTGCTGAAACTTTCTGTACTGCTGAGTAACATTTATAAAAGCTTTAAATTATTTTTGAATTTAAAAAAAAATAGATTTTTTGAGAAATTAAATTTTTTTTCAAATAAATTCTTCATTCTGTCAATACAAGTGAAATGTTTTTTGAATCATTGAAATCCGATGCTACGTTCCCTCACGTTAATAAGTTAGTAAAGTTTATTTTAGTTATTTCTAAGAATGCACCACTGTTTGAATGGTCCAATGAAAATAGTTCTAAGTACACGTTATTAATTAGGATGAGTTGTTTGATAAAGATAATTATGTACATCCTCACCGGATGTACCAAACATTGATCCACCTCGGGATCTTTGCCAATATCATAAATACATGTGCGACTCTGGCTCTCGATTCATTCTGTACATACCGAGAGGCAAGGTTAATTATAAAATATTGATATTATTTTTAAATAATGACATTTATTAAATTATAGTTTTT